AGAGTATGTAAACAGGTGTTCGTTACATTATTCTCTATAGTTTTGGCTTTAAAAATTGAATCATTTTTTTTTTTTTGCAACTAAATAAAACTACCTAATGAAGACAAATATATCTGCCAACTATCCAGATACACCCTGGCTTTGCCTGCTCACCACACTTTTTCCTGGCGGGAAAATATTTCTCCTCCTTTCCCATGTGGCATGAAGTGGCAAAGAAGCTGTGGTTAGTAATAGTGAGGTAGGGAAAATCAAACAGAAATAATAGCACCAGGGCACATGGGTAGAGGAGGCATCTTAAAATATTTTATTGGTTTTTGTTGTGAGAAGGTTATCTGGTTACTGCAAAATATTTTTGAATACAAAAATGTGTAAAAAAAAAAAAAAAAATCACCTCTCCTTATCTTTTTTTTTTTGGTACCGGGGATTGAACTCAGGGGCACTTGATCACTGAGCCACATCCCCAGCCCTGTTTTGTATTTTATTTAGAGACAGGGTCTCACTGAGTTGCTTTTGCTGAGGCTGGCTTTGACCTTGCGATCCTCCTGCCTCAGCCTCCCGAGCCACGGGGATTATAGGAGCGTGCACATGGTCGTTATCTTCTTAATATTTTATTCTGTGCATTACATATGTGTGGTGGTGCGTGTGTATAATCACATAACTCACACATATATACAGTGTACGTATTTTTATTAGCAAATAGGATCGTGCATTTAATCCTGCAGCTGCCTTTCTGTGGACTGATATGTCCGGACACCTCAGATCTGTACAATTGGCTTTAATGTGTTTTATTTTAAATAATAAAAGAATTGGGGCTTCACCATAATTTCTCAACCCCTCAGTCAGTGAGTAGGTAACCACTTCAAGTGGAGGTAGGAGAAATATTTTGAAACTACAAGGCAGCCTCATGCTTTATAAAGTTTGGGAATCCCTGGGCAGAGGCTTGGCAGGCTGTCGGCTCTTCGATTTTCCGAACAAGTTGCCTGGTGGCTGTAGGAAATAGTGACTGTGGCTCCCTGAGTGTCAGGCACAGAAGAAGCTCACATTCCCTGGGGGGATGCTGACCACGCCCAGCGAGAGCACTTGGGCTGGGCTGCCTTCTGTGAAGGAGTGAACAGGCCAGGTGCTGGAGGGTGGCGTTGGGACCCACGGAGAGGTGATGAAGTCGGTCACTGTTCTCCACGGGGTGGCGAGCGGCCTGCTCACCCTGGGTTTCCAAACTCAGATCCCTGCAGCAGGACCCAGGGTCACTGGCCAGCAGCAGGCTGGCCTGGGTGGCTGTCATGAGGCATTGGTAAGGATCCCGTGCTAGTGTTCTTCTCAAGAGACCAGTGTTAGCAGGGGATGGGGTTTGTGCTGTGAAGCTGTCCAAATCCTGCTTTAGTCACTGTGTGTGTGTGTGACCAAAATACCTGACAAGAAACACCTAGAGGAGGAAAAGTTTATCTTGGTTCGCAGTTTTAAAATTCCAGTCCATGGTCAGCTCATTCCATAGCTGTGGGCTGGAGGTAATGCAGGACGTGGCAGAGGGAAGTAGCTCAGGAGGGACATGGCCACCAGGAAGAGAGCCAGTGAGGGACAGGCTGTGAGAGAGCTCTGATGTTCCCACCAGGGTCAAAATATAAACCCAGAGGCACACCCCCAGTGACCTGCTTCCTCCAGCCAACCCTTCCCTACCTATGCTCACCTCCAGTTAATCCATTTCAGTGGAGTAATCCTTTGATTGGGTCACACCTTTCATAATCTGATCATTTCACCTGTTGCATTGACTCACGCATGAGCTTTTGGGGGACAAATCATATCTAAACCATAGCATCCTAAGTCCCCACTGGAGTCCCCATACTACCTGGGAACCATCCTAGGGAGGGGAAGCTACCCGTGAGCCATGAAAGGTCGGGGAGGAAGGAGGGAGCCGCGCAAATGTTCTCCTTCCTCGTGGAAGAGCAGGGCTGGGAAGCACAAGGGCTTCCTCACTAGAGGGAAATTGAGCTTCTTAGAAAGTGAAAGCTTCACTTGAAGGGACGCGTTGGGTGACACCGTAAGTCATGTGGTTGTGGAGGGGGCACATGCCAGGTGCAGCTCCCGGGAGCCTGTACACACTGGTAGCTGTTCATCCTATAGAAGAGAGCCCTGGGCTGCCGTTCTGCGGTAACCCACAGCCACCCTGGGAAAGGAGCAGCCTAGCTCACACCCAGACCTGGCCTAGGGCAGGGGAGGCAGGAGAGGCAGGAGACGGCCTCTGGTACTACTGCTCTGGGTTTCAGCCTCGCTGTGGGAATCCTGCCCTAAGCCACCTGGATTCCTGCAGAGTGGGGAGGCCATCTGCGTTTCAGGGCAGGTTCTTTTTCCCTGTCTCCCTCTTGCATCTTGAGGGAACTGGGTGGACAGACTCAAATCAGATCCCTCTGAAGACTAGGAAAGACTTTGGAAGACTTGGAAAGAGAAGACTAGAATTTCTTTTTTCAATACTGGGGATTGAACCCAGGAATATTCTACCACTGATCCATAGCTCCCATCCTTTTTATTTTTTGAGTCAGGGTCTCTCTAAGCTGCTGAGGCTGGCCTTGAACTTTTGATCCTCCTGCCGAAGCCTCCCAAGTCGCTGGGATTATAGGTATACACCACTGCACTAAGCTGAGATCCTTCAACTCTAAAAGCCCCTAGAGCCAGCCAGCATGCAGGCAGCGGTTGGGGTCAGGCTGGGACACCTAGGAGGTGTACAGGGAAGGCGCAGGACAAGTGAGAGAGTGGTATGACAGTGGGCATTGCTGAAAGTCCCTAACACCTGCTCTGTACAGTGAGCACGTCTGTGTGTGTGTGTGTCTATGTGGTGGGAGGCAGACCTGGGTGGTGCCCTCATCCCTGTTCAGTTATCCACAGTTCGTACCCCAGAAGAATGTGAGCCACACACCCCAGAGCCAGGCCCTCTGTTGAGAGTCACCCACAGCCACTTGAGCTTGTCTCTGTCCTCTGCACTCTTCCCCAGCCACATTGTCCCCTTGTTAGAAAAGCTGGGGCTTCTCAATGGGGCACCCCCCCCCCCAAGACCCCTGGGATGGACTCCTCCACGTGACCTTGTCTCAGCCGAGCTTATTGGACTCAGACTGCAGGGCCCCATGTCCTCTGGCACAGTCTAAGCCTCCGCTGCCTCTGGAAGGAACAGTGAGTCGTCACCTGGGACCAGTGTCTGTCTGTCTTTTCTGTTCTGGGGGTAGGCCATACCACTGCTTAGAAGGACATGGATTAAATCAGAAGCTCACAGAGAGCACCGAGGCATTGGCCAGCCTGGTCCACTGAGGCTCGGCTACAGGCCAGTGGGTGCTGGTCCTCTGCATCACGGTCACCCTGGGAGGTTGTGGCCAGGTGTCAGAGAGGGGGCCGTCCCAGAGCTAGTGAGTGGTGGAGCCGGGGTTTGAACCACGGTAGAACTCTCTAGTTTGTGCTGTGTTTCCCCTGTAAGGAATTGGGGGAGGAGAGGGAGACTTTCTGGAGACTGGGCAGCTGACCCTGGCAGCTGGAAGGGGACTTGGCAAGCCCCTTGCTGCAGAATGTCACCAGGTAAATTATGCAACACTCAGTTAAATTCAAATTTCAGAAAATAGCAAGTAACTTTTTCAGTGTAAGTATATCCCATGTGATGCTTGGGACATACTTATACTAAAAAGAATGTGTTTATTTACCTGAAATTTAAACTTAACTGGGTACCCCATAGTTTTATTTGTCTAATTTGGCAACCCTGCTTGGGAACCCCTAGGAAACACACTGGGCCTGATACATGAGCACAATAAAATAGAGGATTTTTTTTGTATGTGTTACATGAGTATATTCTGTGGGATATTTTGGGATATATTTTTAAAAGTTATTTGCTGTTTTTCTTTTTAAATTTAAACTTAACTGGAATCCTTTTTTAAATTTATTTATTCTGGAAACCCTCGTTGGGGACCCCAGGAAACATACTGGGTCTGGCTCACGGACACCCTGTAAAGACACAGGTAGCTCAGTAGGTGGTGAGCTGCCTGTCCCCGACTGTGTATTCAGGGAGAGGCCAGATCACCCTTGGTAGTCACTGAGGAAGGTATTTGGGTTTTCGATGCTGGGCTCTAGTGAGGTTTGGGGACGCAGATGCAGGGACGAGAGGGTTGGGAAGCTGTCTCTGGGCTCATCTGTCATCAGCACTGTGTTGAGGACTAGTTCTTCTACCCAGAGGTGACATCTGGCCTCATTCAGCGGGAAACCAGTCCAGCCCAGGGAAACGTCATTAAACGGTCCAATCTGGCTTGAAGAAACACTGTTAAAGAAGAAATGAAACACACACACACACACACATTTTTTTTCTCTGTCTTGTTGAGAATTGGCAGTGACGTCCTGATTCTGTGTATATCTCCTGCAGCAGAGTGTGACTTCTGGGACGGGCTGAGGACCCCATGTGTCACTCTAGGGCCGTGATAACATGAAAAGCACCCACCCCCAAGGTTCTTCACACACCGTTGCAGGCAAGTGACCCCAGGCGAGAGGTGTTTATTTCTTTGCTGTTTCAGATGCTCTGGGTGTGACCGTACCTTGCGGGCCAGGCAGGACTTTAAGCGTGGCCTGTCTCCATATGACTTCTGCCTTCCATGAATCATCCCCAGCAAAGAGCTAGTCCTCAGCAAGCCTCCTGCCACCCCCCCTGCTTCCCACCCTCATGGAGCTCACAGTGACATTAGCCTGAGCCAGACCAGAGTCCGGAGGCAAATCTGCAAAGGCAAAATCTTGTCCTGGGTTCCCAGAACACATAGGGGTGGCATTCTCTCCTATGCCTATGCTATCTTCCGCTAGGGTGTTTAAATTTGATTTAATTATCAAATGGATCCTTCAATATTATCCATTAAGTACAAAAGAGTCACAATACCTGCTGTTGTAAAGGGAAAGACTTAAATATTTGTATCGATTCTGATCATTGAAATTGCCTGTTCTTCTTCTCGCTTTGGTTTAATCGATTTACTCTGAGCAGCAGAGGCCTCTCGCACTTGTGTTTTCCAGGGAGAGTCCTTGAGTGTCTGGCGGCTGACAACATGCACCAGCAGTGGCTCCTGCTGGCCGTGTGCTTCTGGGTGATTTTCATGTTCATGGTGGCCAGCAAGTTCATCACGCTGACCTTCAAAGACCCAGACGGTAGGTGTGCCTCCTGCCGCAGGGGCTTGGCTCGCTCATCTCTGCTGCAGTACCGCTCCCAGGTGCACGCATGAGGGACAGCTGCCCCAGGGTCCAAGGACATGCAGAGAAGTGGCAGAGGACAGGGAGGTGGGAAGGGACCGGAGGCTCTTCACAGAAGGTGCTTTCTTTGTGGCTGTAACCAGAGCGGAGAGCAGGGCCTCCTCCCAGCCCTGCAGCAGGGCCTCGCAGCAGCGCACACGGCAGGCTCCTGGCGTGGGAATGTCCCCTGCCTGAAGTCAGAGAGACGCAGCATGACTGCTCAGCATGCCTGGGTGTCAGCTGGTGTCCCACATGGGTGGCACATGTGTTTTGAAGGTCACCTTCAGTGCCATGGAAGAAGGGTCATTTAAATATATACCCACCTCTTGGAGGATTTTTAACCCCTTAGTGAGCACTGGCGCTCAGATGAGGGCGTGGTAAGAGCTCCAGACCGTCTTGGACAAGCCGATTCTATGTCTTGTCCTTCTCATTTGCTTATGTGAGCTTCTGTTTTTTTCCTACAAAACGGACACACTCTACTCAGACAGCCCCCTGGGAGGCGCTTGGTCTGTGAAGCACTGGGTGTGTGCAAGGAGTCCGTGATGGTCTCCTCAGCCCAGGGGACACTCAGAGTTTGCAGCAGCTTCAGCACTGTTGTGTGCCACCCAGAGTGGCAATCCGTGTTAAAGCTGAGAGCGGCTCATTCCAGAGCCACCTGCAGGACTGTGTCAGCCCTACACTGCTTGAGACCAAGTGGATTCTGGCTTCCAGGAGTGGGGCCCCGTCGAGAGCCACGCACCACGTCAACATCGCCAGGAAATTGAAACAAAGCGCTGCTGAGAACACGAAATACATCTCTTTCATGATTATCCTGAATATCATCTCCCAGGAGGGCAAGCACTGCGGGGCAGGCCATCCGATGAAGCTGTTGGTGTTTTATTTTGTTTGGAAAAGTACAAGTGTCTGTGATATACTTCAGAGACACTTCCATCAATAATGGTTGAATAAGCTGGGCACATACTGTAGTCCCACTGTAGTCGTGCACCTGTAGTCCCAGCCACTGGGGAGGCCAGGGCTGGAGGATGGCTTGAGCCAGAGAGTTCCTGACCATTCTAGGCAACAGGCTGTGCTGCCCATAGTGAGGCCCCATCTCGACCAGACCACTCCAGAATAAAAGTGGGAGTTAAATAAACCGTGGGTCCTTGCACTCATGTAATGGTCCCTGGCCAAAGAGCTTTTAAAGGACAGCTTGTTGCCCAGTGGGTCTGATAAACAAGGTGACATTCAGCTGGGAGGTGGCAGGTTATATGCTCCGTATTTTCAGAAAAGTGTGGATGCTGAAGTGGTTTCATGAAGGGGAGCAAACGCTGATGAGGGTAAAAACCAGGAGGACACAGGGAGGGCTTTGGATTCTGACCTGCAGAGGTAGTCTGTGACTGTCCTCAGTACTGCTTGCCGGAGGCCACCTCTCAGCCTTGAGGTGGTGGGTGGAGGTGATTCCTCTGCACTTTGATGTGGGAGGAGGCTGTGCAGCATCTCTGGGTGGTCAGAGCCTTGTTGCCCCTTCCCCCACGGTGGCCTCAGTGAGGATGCTGTTGCCCAAAGTGCACTGGAGACCTGGAGGGAGGGACCTGGAGGGAGGGACCTCGGTGGTCACATTGCTGAAGTGTGGCCTGCTGCAGCAGCCGAACCCAGCCTACTGTGACTCACTAGGATCTTATCTGGTTGTCCTAGCGTACCTGCTGGATCACGGGGTGGGTGTCCCTTGACTGAGTCTGACTGGAGGCAGTGAGCTCAGCTGCAGAGTCTTGGGTCAGTCAACTTTTTGTCATTGTGACCAAAATACCTGACAAGAACAACTCAGAGGAGGAAAAGCCGATTCAGAGGCTCAGTCCATGGTTGGCCGACTCTGTGGCTCTGGGCCCTTGGCAGAAGGCAGTGGCAGAGGACAGCGGCTCCCTTCATGGCACCTGCGGAGCAGAGAGAGGGAGGGGGACAGGGAACATGAGCCCTTCCAGGGCAACCCCTGTTATGCCAGATTCGTGGGACCCCAGTAGACCTCCAGGAGCCGAATCCGATGCAATCACACAAGAGTCTTTATTGCAAGCTCAAGCCTGGGCTCACAGCTGTTTCCGACGCAGCGGTCCCAGGGAGTGAGTCCTGGTCCTTTGTTCAGTGAGGTTTTATAGGTTTTGGGGGGATACTCCATGCGTCACAACATCACACAGCAAATCATTCCACACCGCGGGAAAATCAAACAACAACTCTTAACATTGATTAGCACATTCACTGGCGGGAACAAGTTGGGTAGGGGTGATTGGTTAGCACAATAGGGGGATTCGTTTGAACTGATTGGTTTAGGCCACGAGGGGTGTATGTGCTGAACTACATGGTTTCCCAACTTGTCATCAACTACCATAAACTACTGGGGGGTCATCTGGCATCCCAGGTATTTCCCTGTCTCATGCTGATTAGTGGTTGCTAGGGGGTTGCTATGGGTCCTCACCTAGCCTAACTGAGTCAGGGACACCTGGAGCCACAGACCTCTCCTGTTATTCACAGACAAACAACTCAGCAGGGTGGGTATGTGCTTAGGAGTGCTCTGTGGGTTTTTCCAAGGACAAGGTCACGCCCCCTCCTTGGACAGGCCTTGAGGAGAAGCTGGTTTCTCAAAAATGGAGTCACATCAGTTTCTCACCCCCAGTGACTTCCTCCTCCAGCCACGTCCCACCTGCCCACAGTCACCATTCAAACTAGAATGGGCGCTTAGGTCACAGCTCTCAAGATCTAATCATTTCACCTCTAAACCTTCCCGAAATGAACACAGGAGCTTTGGGGGCACACCTCAGTCCAGTCATAACAGGTCTCTTGCCAATGTGGACGAGGAGGCAGGATCAAGCCCCGAGGGAAGCTCACCGCTAATGTCCGTCCAGAGGCCTCCAGGAGCTGGGGGCTGCGGTGCTGTGGGCACCTCCCTCGCTCACCTGCCCCTCGGTTTAGTGAGTGTGGCCTTTGAGCCTTACTGGGCCCTTCTTCAGGGGAGGCAGTCCAACCTGTAGGACACTGAGAGAGGTTTGTCCGCAGTGGCCACGAGGATGGCTTGTCTGTTGGAGTTTATGTCACCCATGTCACAGGGTTTTGCTTTTCGACCAAGAGCCCCTTGTGAAGAGTCATTCAGAGGGCTGGGGCTGGGGCCCAGCGGAAGAGCGATTGCCTGCCTGTGTGAGGCCCTGCGTTCCATCCTCAGCCCCACAAAAAAATAAATAAACAAAACAAAGGTATTGTGTCCAACTACAACTAAAAAAGTATTTAAAAAAAATTAGAATCATTATAAGGAAATAACTCACTTCTAACAAGGGCGCCTTCGTGGTGAAGTTCCGTTCCCACAAGAAGGGTGGAGAGTCCTTGGTGTCAGTGTTCAGGGGCCTCAGGTAACTCGGGTGTCCCTGGGGCAGCTCCTTCCAGCTCCGTCCTCTGGGAAACCAATCCCTGGTCCAGAATCCCAGTCAGTGGGCGGGCGGGTTTTCCTCTCACCTCCTGTTCTGCAAGACTCCCCTCCACTGGAGCTGGGGAGGGCGGGGAGGGGGGGCTGAGCTGCTGTTTAATGCAACATTTGCCATTTTTTATGGTAAGGGTTTTTATGTCACCTCAGCGATGGAGTCACAGGGACGTGTGCAGTGGTGGTTTATCCTCAGCAAGCTTCAGTGTTGCCTTGAACCAGGGTCAGTTTGGCTTCATTCTAGGAGGCGCAATCCTGCCCTGTGGGTCCGTGACGGCATAGTGTGCCAGACTCCAAACATGGCACCTGGGCCCCAGTGTGTGCTGCAGACTCTGACCTCTCTCCCGCCGTGCTCCTTTTCCAGTCTGTGGCCTCATCTCAGCCCCTCAGCTTTCTTGTGTGCCACTGAGGCAGAGCCTGTGACTTGTGTTTCTCTGTGCCACCCACGTAGCTCATGCATGGGACGGAGCGGTGAGGTTTGGTGACGGTTAGTCAGCTTTTTGTCACTGTGACCAAAATACCTGACATGAACCACTGAGGGGAGGGGAGGTTTATTTTGGCTCGTGGTTTCAGAGGCTCAGTCCATGAGTGGCTGGCCCCATTGCTTTGGGTCTGAGGTGAGGCAGAACGTCATGGTGGGAGGGTGTGGAGGAGGGAAGGTGCCCAGCTCACAGCAGCTGAGAAGGAAGGGGCCAGGGACAGACATAGTGCAAGGCCACGCCCCCAGTGACCTGCTTCCTCCCTTGGTGCCCCTCCTGTCTTCAGTTGCCAGTAGTCCATTCAGTTTATGGGTTAATCCAGTGATTAGGTCACAGCTCTTACAATCCAGTCTTTCCACCTCTGAACATCGCTGCATTGCCTGATGCAGGACATTTGGAGGGACATTCCTACCTCCAAACTAGAGCAGTGACTGAGTATATCATCAGTGAGGCAGGTTGTGGTTACTTTTTTAAAAAAAACCAAGCAGAACTTTATCTGACAAAACGTCGACATTTTGTAAAACAGCATAATGATGACAACACGGTAAGCCACTGCACAAAGACCCCTGGCCGTTGCCCCGGGATCCGACTCCTCTACTTGAGGGGCAGGGTGAAGAGAGCGACCTCTGTCATCCCAGTGGGGGTGGCGGCATCTGCAAAAAATAGCAGGCTAGCCACAAAGCAACAGAAAAAGAAAAGCAAATATGAACCGGCTGCTGTTTTCATCTGAGTCGAGTTGAGTCGGGTTTGGGCGAGCTGGGGGGTTGGCTGAGCTGGGGGGTTGGCTGAGCTGGGGGGTTGGCTGAGCTGGGGGGTTGGCTGGTGTGGCTGCTGGGAGCTGAGGAGTTCTTCAGCCACCACGATCCATTCCGTGTGCTCTGAGGGTGTGAAGTAGGTTGCGTTTTCAAAAATCCACTGGTGAATCACTTGTTTAGAATTCAGGACTCGTTTCCCCATCCAGAATGCTATGAAGGGAGCTTAGGTCTCTGCAGAACCCCGTGAGCATGTCCGCTCTCACCAGGAACCAGGCTGTGGCGCGAGAGGCTGGACAGACATTGCTCTCAGAGCCCCTGGAGGGCTTTTAGGGGTTCAGGGGCCGATGGCCTCTGTCATTTGTACAGCAGACAGTGCTCTCCATCCTTATTGCAGGTACGTAGCCGTACGACAGCTCTGGCTAAGTTTGCATTTTCACTGAAAAAGAGGAGAAAGGAGAAAGGCTTTTAGTGAGGTTCATAAAGATGTGCAGACAGAGCTGGCTCTGGGGTCCAACCGCCAGGAGGGGGCGGGGGACAAGAACACCGCAACAGGGTGCAGGGGTGGGGGTGGGGGTGTTTTCTTCCTCCTCGTGCAGCGAGGGGAGAAGGAGGGCAGGGAGGAAGCTCATTGTGCTGGATGGAGGGGCTTGGGGCCTGCAGGCACAGCAGTACCTACCAAAGGCAAAGCGTGGTTCTCAGTGACAAAAAAGGAGTAGACCTTGAACCTTTTTTTAAAGTGAAACATCCTTTTGTGTAATCAGCTTTTTAATTTTTATTTAACATCTACTTTTTCTAATTTGAAGGCTTTGGAAAATTTTGAAACTACCTGTTTCTTTATTTGCAGAACACCAAAGATTATAATCAAATTCTACCCCAAAGGTTTCTGCAAAACCTATTGTTATAAATTATTAGTTTGGACAAGCACTTTATAAGATTCCTCTATCTCAATTTGAGTACCACAGCTTCATAAACTGATATGAAAGCTGATTGTTTTTGTTTTGTTGGTTAATTTTTTTTTTTTTTTAATCTGGAGATCATTGTGGAGGTACACACAGTTGTAAGAAATAACACAGAGAAGCCAGGCATGGTGGTGGCACACGCCTGTCATCTCAGTGACTCAGGAGGCTGAGTCAGGAGGATCACAAGTTTGAGGCCAGCCTCAGCAACTTGACAAGACCCTAAGCAATTTAGTGAGACCCTATCTCAAAAAAGGGGGATGGGCTAGGGATGTATCTCAGCAGTAGAGCACCCCTGAATTCCCTCCTGGGACCCCTGTTCGGTCTCGTTGATCTGTAATCCTGTTTCTTGGTGACAAGAAATCTCAACCTATCTGTCTTCCAGGGTACAGCGCCAAACAGGAGTTTCTGTTCCTGACAACTGTGCCAGAAGCCGGGAAGTCACGAGAAGAGAAGCACTTTGCCGAGGATCCGAAGGTGGGCATGAGCTGGGGGCCTGGGCAGAAGTGCTGAGCATCGGGGAGTCTGGTCGTGGTAGAGCCACCAGGGAGGAGTGGGAGCCAGGGAACAGGTGGAACTTGTGTCATCCCATGTCCTACTGTAGGGTGTTCTAGAAGGCCTGTGTCCCGGGAGGACGGGCTGTTACAACCTCCCCTTGAGTGGACTGCCTGGAAACTCGTGCATTTTAAAAGAGAACACAGGAGCATCTGGGCCCTCTGAATATGTCTGATTGGAGGAACCATCTGCTCTGAGATCCTGGGAAGAAGCTCTGTTAGCCGCAAGGGAAGATAGAGAGGCAGCAGCAGATGCGTTCCAGAGTGCTTAGAATCAGGGCCACAGCTGGAGGGGGCCCATGGAGCGGTTCTGGGAACTGGGCCCACTGTCTCAGCAGCGTCTGGGGCAGACACACCGCCGCGACGTGAGCAGTGGGGACAAGTTCTGAGAACACCTGTGTGTCCTGCCTGTCTCCTCTGCCCTCTTCAGCTGGGCCTTTCCGGGCGTCAGTCCCTGAGACCCTGAGCTGCCCCTGAGCACTGGGTCCAGACTGAGCCAGGAGTTCTGGAACGACTCTGCCCACCGTGCACAGAGCCAAGGCTGGATCCAATGGAGGCCTCTCGGGTTAGGAGGGGTTCTCGGGCTCTGGAACAGCTTCAAGGGGTGTGGGCCCTTGCCAGGCACTTGAGCCTTTTTTGTTTCTCTGAATCACCCCTCTCTTGAGAAGGGAAGTCCCAGGAACCAAGTCTCTTCTCCTGGCCACCTGGGCTGATTCATCCCAGGGACTTAGCAGGGCAGTGAGGGCCTGGGAGGGGGCTGGAAGTAGGGGTTGCCACCCATGGAAAGGGAACCAGCCTGTTCACCTGCAGATCAAGGAGCCTGTGCCAGTTGGGTAGAAGGAAATAGCACCTTATTTTCCACTAAGCATCTGTATATATTCAGAGGATTAGGTTAGCTTGCTTCAGGAAATCTGATGTTCACTCAGGAACAAATGAAATCGTAGAAAAGAAAAGGTCCTGTGGATGGGCAGAGAAGGTCCCGCTGGCTCATGCTGGGCCCTGCTGTCGCTCTGACCCTCTCCCCCCCATGAGCCCTGGTGCCTGTTCTGTTCCTCCACGCACAGCCCACCGGGAGGATGCCTCCAGCTGCCCCTCTGGTCTATATGGAGCGCCTGGAGCTCATCAGGAACGTCTGCCGGGACGAGGCCCTGAGGAACCTCTCGCACACTGCGGTCTCCAAGTTTGTCCTGGACCGCATATTTGTCTGCGACAAGCACAAGATTCTTTTCTGCCAGACCCCCAAGGTGGGCAACACCCAGTGGAAGAAAGTGCTGATTGTGCTCAATGGTGCGTCCACCATGACATCAGGGTTTGCCTGGGGAAGGGTCCCAGTAGCTGGGCAGGGGAGAGGGGTCAAAGGAGGGAGTGGTTTCTCCTGAAAAGACCGACAGCCTTCCAGATGGTTCTCTGTTGTCCCTTTTTTCCCTGTTGGTGCCGTACTTTGGGAGTTGGGAGGGTTAATTATGCAGCAAGTGTCTACCCCTGAGCTCCACCCCGACCCTGGGTGGGCTCATTGTGGATGGTGAACATTTTCAAAGGCACATAGCCAACAACAGGGTCTCCTGGTTTTCCCAGTGGAACCCCCACCTCAGGCAGCTTGACCAACCCGCTGATATTGATGCATTTAAAGTCACATGCTGAGTGTGTCAAGGCCACCACACTCTGAGGTCACCAGGAGGCTGCACAGTGCCTCTCTCTAGTGAGAAGGGCCCACACTCCAGATCCTGGGAGGAGAGCCCCCTGCATGAATCTGGGGCCTGTTCACCTGCAGGTCCAGGAGCCTGTGCCAGTTGGGTAGACGGAAATAGCACCTTATTTTCCACTAAGCATCTGTATATATTCAGAGGATTAGGTTAGCTTGCTTCAGGAAATCTGATGTTCACTCAGGAACAAATGAATCATAGAAAAGAGCGTTCATATCCTGTAGTTAGGCTTACTCTCTGCTTCAGACAGCAGGTTCATTTGTTTGTTAAAGTCCAATTAGTCTGAGCTGATCCAAGATCATCATGGACGCTGTCTGTTAAGTTCAGCTTGAAAAGGGACTTGTTTCCAACCACTGGCAGTGGACTCCTGGTCAGGAATCAGACCCCGGGTGCTGCAGGCAGGTCTTGGGGTTCCATGTCCTCCTGCCCGCGGCTCCCTGGGCTGCTCTCAGAGGTGCTGGTCAGAGTTGGCTGACATTTGCCTCCTCACAGGGTGGTTGGGGAAGAAGAGGGTGACTCATCGTTCTCTGGCACTATGTCAGGATGTTCCGAATCAGAGAACAAGGTTAGAAATCAAGTTGAAAGCGAGGAGTATACCAAAAAGCCCACAGTCAGCCACGGCAGTGTTCAGCATCTCCAAAGACGTGCCCACTTCAAGGGCAGAACAGGAGTGGCCATGGGGGGGGGGGGGTGTATATCAAAACACCACCAGAATCCCAGCGGCTCTGGAGGCTGAGGCAGGAGGATCGAGAGTTCAAAGCCAGCCCCCGCAAAAGCAAGGCACCAAGCAACTCAGTGAGACCCTGTCTCTAAATAAAATACAAGATAGGGCTGGGGGTGTGGCTCAGTGGTCGAGTGCCCCTGAGTTCAACCCCTGGTACCAAAATAAACAACAACAAAAACAACCACCAGCACCCCAGCAATATGTGTGATTTCTAGGTTCTCATGTATTAGCTAAAGATTAGCTTAAATTAAACATGGAAAAAGTAACAAGCACCACCCTTGACCTCGACACCTAGTCACAGTCAGTTTGATGAGAACAAAAATCAAACTGCTTTTGAGAGGACCTTTACTACCCAGCTTGTGGTTGATTAAGAGGCTTCATCTGGAAATCTTCATCTTGTTTGTTTAAAACAAACAAACAAACAAAAAACATGGGCTTATATAATCTCTAAGTTTCTTAAAAAATGAAAACAAACTAGACGGAGGGAAAAGCTGGAGAGGCCCACAGGTAACCTGGTAAACTACAGGTGGTCGGGGTGGCTGTCCTTAAGGTCCCAACAGGGACGGGGTGAGTGGGCCTAGGTGCAGACCACAGAGCTGGCTCTGTCATCCCACTTCTATACATTTTTCTTTTCCTTTTTTGACAGTGAGGTCTCACTGCATTGGGCTGGCTGGCCTTGAACTCAGCCTCCCAGGCAGTTAGGGTCGTGGGCATGCACCACTGCACCAGCTCTGCGGTGCCCTTAGTGGTTGCTCCTCTTGGTCATTTCCTAGCCAGCCAGCCTGGGCGGCACAGAGTCCTAGACTGGGGCACAGAGTCCTGGACTCAGTATTCTGGGGGAGGGGATGAATGAATAAGCAGGCAGGGACACTGTGGGCCCTGCTTAGATGGAGGCCACAAGAGTCTTCCTTGCCAGGACTTGGAGCTCCACCTGACAGGGTTAGCCCAAATTCAGTGTGAAGGTTTGCAGGGGCATGGCTAGGCCCTCCTCAGCATCATGAGCATTTATTTCCATTTTCTACTTTGGGAAAAGAAAGGCCTGCCTGGCCACCAGCCCTGAGATTGACACCGAGCAGGTTCCCCGCAGCAGCGTGGTCCCAGAGCCGAGCCCTGAGGATGGCCAGTGGCCATTGCTACACTCCTGCCTCCTCCTCAGACACACACGTCCTCCTTCAGCCCCTGCTGTTTACCTGGGTCACAGCTGTATAACTTCAGCGTTCTTTTTTTGTTTTGTTTTGTTTTTGGTACCAGGGATTGACCTCAGGGGCACTTGACCACTGAGCCACAACCCCAGCCCTACTTGGTATTTTCTTTAAGAACAGGGTCCCACTGAGTTGCTTAACACCTCGCTGTTGCTGAGGCTGGCTTTGAACTCACAATCCTCCTGCCTCAGCCTCCTGAGCTGCTGGGATGACAGACGTACACCACTGTGCCGGGAACTTCAGCCAGATTTTTCTAGCACCAATCGCCTTTGGTGCTGTTCTGGGTTGCCCTGAGGTTATCTAGGAACCACCTAGGTCTGGGGTGTGGTGCTGCCAGAGCACAGCCTGCCAGGCAGAATGGGGACCATGTGGGCATAGGTGGGCACCACGTTTCCCAGGCCTGCCCCCTGGCAATTCTCCCAGTCTCAGAGTAAAGTATCAGTGGTTTTAGGAATTCTGTCTGCATACCCCAAGCTTTGTTTAACGGAAGGTTTGCCAGGGGTGGACACTGTCCCACATCTGCCCTGTCCCCTGCCCTCTCCTCCCCAGGACCCTCTCTGTCTGGAACTCTCATTCCCTCTCCCGTCCTGCCCGTAGAAGCAACTGGAATTCAAGGACATCAGCGTGGCTGTTGGGGGTGGGTTTGCCCTGTGTGCCCCGAGAATGTGGAGCCCTGAGGTGAAGAGGGTCATCTCGAGGCCACCAACACACCTTCTCTCGTCTCCTAGGAGCGTTTCCTTCCATCGAAGAGATTCCTGAAAATGTCGTTCACGACCATGAGAAGAACGGCCTCCCTCGTCTCTCCTCCTTCAGCACAGTGGGAATTGAGAAGCGGTGAGAGCATGGTGGGGTGGGGGTTGGGAGCCTGTGAAGAAAGTCTGCTAGAATCCAGCTCAGGTTGCACTTGCTGCGTATTCCAGATCACACCCCGGGGACCACGGGGACCACAGGCTGTGCTGGGACCAGCAGCCGGGCGTTGGTCTGCCCCTGCGTGATGACCATGTGCTTACACTCTCAGCCCCCCCTGAGGACTTCAGAGCACCTTTTCCAGCCTTGCCATCGGACAGGCCCCAACAGTTCACATTATCTTATTAACAGATGAGGGGTCACTTTTGTCGTGCTTTGGTTTTGTGAAGTTTTGTGGGTTCTTGACTGAACGTCGTGGTCTTCTCTTCATGAGAAGGGGACTAGGGTTGTAGGAACCCTCATTTCCCCTTCCAAAAGCATTGTGCCTGTGTCACAGGAGCTTCCCCCTGGGAACCTGGATCCACACAGGCAGTGTGTGTGTGGGGGGGTACTTCTTGATTTGGGCAAGAATAGAGTCGTAGCCAATGAATGGAACAGGTCTCCCATCAATTGTGAAGTGGCTCTGGAGAACAAGGTTTAAAGGGCCCAGAAAGCTGAGCAGCACCTAAACGTCAGGCCTGGGGCTGGGCTCTGGCCTCCCTGGCTTGGCCACTTCCCTTCATTGTTTCTGGCTCTGGCTGATTGAGTACAGAAGTCCTTCTGGGTGCAAACCCACCTGTTACCTCCTGAGCACTCACCCCCCCGGGGCTTCTGGGGGAGACTCAGAAGTCAAGGCAGGCCAACTGGGGCAGACAGTCTCTGCAAGTAGTAGGCACTCCATTCTTGCAGTGTCGACCTTGATGCAGGATTGCTGTCATGCTCGCCACTGCCCCAGGCCTCAGGGCAGCCGTGTCCAGCGGCCCACCCAGGCTGGAGTGTGCATTTTCTCCCACCCTGGCTTTGCTCTGATTTTTCTCTCCCCTGACAATGTTGAATTGCATCCTGAAGGCCAGGCCCGTCGGTTATCCCTGGCTCACTCAGAGTACCTGCCTTGATAGTTTTCTGTCCAAGAACAAAATTGTTAAAGATTCTTGGAATTTTGAGTTATTCAGTAAAATAAAGCGTTGATGAAATAGAGTTTTCACAGACTCCCAGGAACGAGTACTGTCGACTTTTCTGAGCCTCTGTTTTCTCTTCTGTAAAAATGGGTTGAGAATAGGAATCAACGCACAAAATCTTGCAGTGGATTAAGGAAGAGATGCATGGAATGCATTCGGGGCCGGGCTTGGCCTGGTGAGAGTTCAGCTGTGGGAGCTGCCCCATTTGCTCTTCGCTCTCCCACCCCCTCAGCCATAGGCTCCAGGAGCATGCAGTTAACTTCCTGTTTTCATTTTGTTTTTCTTAGATTGAAAACATACTTCAAGTTTTTTATTGTAAGAGATCCCTTCGAGAGACTCATTTCTGCATTTAAGGACAAGTTTGTTCATAATCCCCGTTTTGAGCCTTGGTACAGGCACGAGATTGCCCCTGGCATCATCAGGAAATACAGAAAGAACCGGACAGAGACCCGGGGGATCCAGTTTGAAGATTTCGTGCGCTATCTGGGTGATCCAAACCACAGATGGCTGGACCTTCAGTTTGGGGACCATATCATTCACTGGGTGACGTATGTGGAACTGTGTGCGCCTTGTGAGATAAAGTACAGTGTGATTGGACACCACGAGACCCTGGAGGAGGATGCCCCGTACATCCTGAGAGAGGCCGGCATAGACCACCTGGTGTCCTACCCCACCATCCCACCGGGCATCACCGTGTATAACAGAACCAAGGTGCAGCGCTACTTTCTGGGCATCAGCAAACGAGACATCCGGCGCCTGTATGCACGTTTTGAAGGGGACTTTAAGCTCTTTGGGTACCAGAAACCAGATTTTTTGCTAAACTAATGTTTAGGACCCATGAATCCAGATATCTCTGTTAGACTGGGGGCTAGCCAGGTAGAGGTCTGAGCACAGAAATGACACTTTCTCCATGACACCTCTCCTTAAGACTCCTGAGGCCTCCCCTGATCCCGAGGGCCTCTCCCCCACCTGTTATCAGGAAGCCGCTGGCCTCACCTTGGAGAGAAGTGGAGACAAGACATCTGCAGGAGGAGATGTGACAGCATTCGGAGCCATCGCCCTCAGTTGTTGAGTTGGCAGGCACAGCCGAGGCCCTCCTGGCCGCCAGGGTGGTCTTGCCTGTCATCAATGGATTGCAAAAATGGTACCTGGCACTTTTAGGAGGGGTGGAGAAGCTGAGGTGCTGCAGAAGCTCCCCAGGCCGGGCAGGATCAAATCTGAGTCATAAGATGACACCTCTGGCCTTCACCTTGGTGTTGCTATAACAGATGGTCCTTTCTGGGACAACTGAGTCCCTGTGACATTCAGTGATGACCCCAGAGCAGGGCCAACCGTCTGTCTTTCAGAACCCATGCCTGTGCAAGGCAGGTCCGTGTGTCTGGACCGCTGCCTGCCAATCGCCTATCCCATCTAGCACCAGAGGTAAAATTTTGGAAAGTGATTGGAGGAGAGGTTCTTACCACCCTGGAAAGAGGACACCTGGGGGGGGGGCTTAAAAGGAATGTGGCACAGGAAAGGAGGAGCAGGCCAGGCTGGGGACTGATTTGGGGACCTCCATTCCGCCTGACTGACACGTGTCCCATCTGGGTGGGCGACAGGAGATCCTCCACCCAGCTCTCCCAGGGCCTCACCTTCCCCAGAGCGCGGAACAGACTAAACAGTTTTAGTCTGGAGGAAGCCAAACAGAATTCAGTGCAGCCTCCACATTCAGTGCCCTTTCATCTCAGCAAAGCGGCCACCACCAGACCCATGTCTGCTGATGCCACCATCCTGGACTAACTGGCCAGAAGTGAGGTCATCAAGTTCACCAGCAATAAAATCCGACGCCAAGGCAGCGTCCAGGCACAGAGAGAGCCCCCACGAGGAGCACGCCACAGCCACCACGAGGGCCATGTAGAACCCGGGAGCCCAGCCGGGAGGGGTGATCCAGGCTTTTCTCAAAGGCAGCCTCAGCCCCCCTTTTCTCAAAACTGCTTCCTGGATTTATAAATGTGAAAGTAAAATGATATTTAAAATATGTGCCAAACCTGATCCTTGCTGCAGTTCCGGGGGAAGGGGCACCAGGGCTGCGTGTGACCCTGAGGCTTGGCGACCAGGACGGGTGTGCGCAGCCTGCTGAGGCCGGGATCGTGGATGGGAAGTGAGGCTTGGCCCTTCACCCTCGATGGACACACCAAGGATGTAACCTTGAGTTATTTTTCTATGAGGTTTCTGCTGTGTCTTGTTAAAATCCTTTCAGACTCAATGAGCTGAAGAGTAACAGTGTGAATCATGTATGTGAATTTAAGGCCTTAAAGTTAGTCCTAATTAAAATAGCCTTTTCTCTCAGAAAGCAAAGATTGGACGCCTGGTTTTTCTTTTCTTTTACTTTTTTTTTTTTTTTTAAATCTCCCTCTGGCATTTGAGTCATTTTCCAAGGATATTTTGCCAAACAAGTAGAGATTGCTATCAAAACATCTCCTGGACATCTCAGTATGTCTGGGACAGTCCACCTCCACCCACTGTGGCTCCTGACCCCACACCTGGCCCCTGGAATGATGCAGCCCTCACCCCTCCACCGAGGTCCTGCAACCCCCTTCTGGTCTTGCCCTAAAGCAGGTGGTTCTCCCACCGTCTTACTCCTAGGCACCACTCCATGTGCTTCCCGTGGTGCTGCTTTGATGGAGATTTACTGTCAAACCAGGCCTCATGCTCCCCAGTGGGTCTCTCCCACGTGGACTGGCACTAGGTCTTATGGTTCAAGAATGATTCTTTTGGGTTTGATGTTCCAGTTCCCCTGGGGCAGCAGACCCTCCTTCCAGACCCACCGGAGTAGCCAAGTCACCCACATAGCTCCACATGGTGGCTTGCCCTTGGGCTTGTACTTCCCGGTCAGCTCCAGCACTGCCCCTGTGGGTCTGCCAGGCCGTGGTCTCACCCTGTGAAGCAGGTGGAGGGGCCTCAGCCTCTGGCAGGTGCATTCTGTGCCTGTAATAAGAGAAGCAAGGTTTTTTATTGTTGTTGTTTACTTTTTCGGGGGTACTGGGGATTTAACTCAGGGGTACTCGACCACTGAGTCACATCCCCGGCCCTATTTTTTATTTAGAGATGGTCTCACCGAGTCGCTTAGTGCCTCACTTTTGCTGAAGCTGGCTTTGAACTCCCGATCCTCCTGTCTCAGCTCCAAGCTGCTGGGATGACAGGTGTGTGCCCAGCAGAGTAGCAGTTCTGATGAGCTCTGAATGGCCTTTGGAATTCTTCCCTTTCTCAAGGAATAATGAATGTTGGAAGCCTTCATTGCCTCTCGTTTAGTCTCCTTTAACTCTGGTTCCCATGGACATGGCCCATCAGGACCCCGGTTCACATCTGATGGCCACAACCTTGGTGTTCTCATTCAGCCGTGAAGTCCTTTCTCTCTCCTCACATTTAACTGTTGAGCTGCCTGTCAACTTGCAGTGTGGTTACTTCCTGTTAAAGCCATCATCCCCTGAGACTATCCTAAGCTGAAAATGCATCTGGTTCACAAAACACACCCAGCGTCACAGCAATAGCCTACGACGTAGACTGCCGGTTGTTTGCCCTGTGGTCTTGTGGCTGGCTGGCAGCTGTGGCCACTGCCAGCATCACATTGGTAGCCTAGGAAAAGATCAAAGTTCAAAGTATGGTTTCTACTAAATGCACGTCACCTTCGCACCATTGTAAGGTCAAAAGCATCGCAAGCATGTTGGGGACCTTCTGAGTTGGTCACCAGGAGGAACCAACCCAGTCCTCTGACACTTTGCCTAGGAATCTCCTTAGCCACAAACTCAGCTTCTTCACTTGCAAAACACCAGAGCACAAACAGATCATCAGAGTTATTTAGTGCTTTATAACAATGATTTGCCTTTCCTGTTTCCGGTAACGTGAGCCTCGCTTCTGCCTGAGACCTGCCAAGAGTGGCCTTTCCCCCAATCTTTTCACCAATATTCATCTGTTCCTCATGATGTATCTTCTAAGGAGACAGAAGTGGCCTCCACAGCGCTCCTTTCTTTTGGAGTCCTCACTGGAATCACCTTTGGTATCTGTAGTTCTAGCACATTCCCCCAAACTCCAGCCTGTACCCATTACTCACTTTTTCCAAAGCTGATCCCACATTTTTAGGTATTATAGAAGCATCCTATTTCTCGGTCCCACTTTCTGTCTCAGTCTGCTTTGGACTACCATAATAAAATACCCATTTTGCTTATGTGGACTTAACAAAGGAGGTTCATTTCTCACAGTTCTAGAGGATGGAAATCCAAGATCAAGATGCTTAAGTCAAGACCAAAGAAAGTGCTCTGGTTTCCCCTCCTTGGATAAGGACACTGACCCCACCCTTGGGCCAGATTCATCTAAAAACCTAATGATCTCTCAAAGGACCCACCTCCAGATATCATCACATTGGGGATTAGGGGGGTTCAATGTGTGAATTTTAGGAGGACACAAACAGTCACACTGTAATTCACAGGAGAGGGACTCCATTTATCACCGTAGCTTCCATGCCTGAAAACAGAAGGTGCTCCATAAATGCTGAACTGGCTTGGTATGGTAGTACCTCTGCATGGACGTTCGTGGAGCCCCTTGGTCAACCTCTGGTGCCCTGTGGCATTGCTGCAGCAACGACAGATTTCCCTCGGTCCTTCCCCACTGCCAGGATTCAACCAGGGAGTATGTTACAAACTGAAACTGCTCCTACCTCCACCTCCCCCTGAGAGCTCACGGCTGGCTTTATTTCCTACCATAATTGGAAGGTGAGGATTCTAAATAAAAGACAACTCATCATGCCCCCCACCCCCAAAATACACTTTCTAAGTGTGAATTCTCGTTGTCAATCTGTTCCCTTTCCCTGGAACAGTGCCCGATGTAAAAGACCAACAGCATTTTGCACTTTCTGCCATCTCTTGAGGGCAGTGGAGACTTTAGGATCCTTTGTCCATGTCAGCACAACAGCCCTGTGAATGCTGAGCAGCCGAATTGTCAGCCCACGCTGCTTTGAAGATGAGGGCATCGGAATCTCATCTCGAGGCAGCTGAATTGGCTGTGCTCCACCCTGAGACCTGGAGGCCCGGATGAGCTCCTCGGGTGGATTTAAAGAAAGAGACATATTATGACTTAGCTGAATCCAAGTGAGCAGAGCAGAAGGAAGCCGGGTGGGATGGCTGCCTGTCTCAACACTCTCCTGGCCATGAAATCAGGCTGCACACATAAGTTAGGAGTGTTTTGTGAGAACACCCCTTCAGTACTGATCCAAGGTCTTTAAAAAACAAAAACAGAACTGCAAACCCAGGTACAGGGAAAGAACATTCCTTCCCCTTCCTCCTCCTGTGTCACAAAACAAATTTGATAATTCGGTAGGTTCGACTCACAAACCCTTTGGTTCTGTATCAACACAGGAGTTCCATTCTCTAAATTCAGAATTAGTCCTCATGACCCTGCACAAATAAGGACACTCACATTTCAGCAACAGGCCTGGGTTTGTTGGAATTTGGATATGGGTTCCCATAAACTGATGATTCCCCGCTGCGGTTCGGTGGCTGAGCCTGACTCCTCGTTGCTCAGACTCTGATGTGGCTTGGCTCCTGCATTGTTCCAGGCTGTGCTGAGGATCCATTCGCAGCCTCCAGGCCCGGGTTGTAGAAACCGCATTAGCCACCTTTCCTGGGTCTGGCTTTCTGCCTCTTTAGACAGGACTCTCTCTCTCTGAAGCTTAGCACCTGTCGCCCTCCGTTACTCCCTCCTCCCTTCTAGGAGGCCAGGATATCTGATCTGGAAAGGGGCAAGGGAGTGCCAGCCCTTCTCCTTCCCCGAGAATCTCTGCATATAGCCTTGGATTCGTTTTAATTAATTATCTGATGTTTCACAATTCCAGCAACAATGTGGAGGACCCTAAGAGACTGTGCACACTAGGGGAAATGAGTCCTACGCCAGAGTTTTCATATTGCAGGACTCCCATTAATGGCTTATCTGGCTGATCTTAAAAAGAACCAGATAAGGAAATGCATACAACTTTAAATAAAAGCAGTGGCCCAAGAGAGGCGCGTCAAGGACTTCAGCCCTGCATAGAATTTTAGACTTCTCCTGCTTCCAAGTCTAGGGTAAAGGGTCCTCAGACCATGGGTCCCAGCAAGCTGTCCCACAGTGGAAGTTTCTGGGCCAGCTTTGTTTCCCCATCCTACTGCAGGGGGCACTGACTGCTCTTCCTGGTCCAGCTCCCGCTGAACCCTGCTTTCCTTTCCTAAACTCACCTTGGAGAGGCTTACTGAGGTATTTTTAGAAGTTACAAGGGTGACCGTGTGCTGAGATTAGGCCCAGGTCCTATGGGGTCAGATTTTCTCTGCTGAAGAACGGAAAGAAAATAGGAAAACAAACCAAGTCTACAGAGAGATGGCTGAGAAATCTCTGAACTGTGAAAATGGAAATTGTGTCTGTTTTATCAAATCATAAGCTGTAAAAATAAACAGTGCAAAGCTTTTCTTCTCAGAAGGTAATTCCTGGCAAATGGCCACTAAAGCCTGCTGGATTTCATGGTTGGGGGTGGTGGTGGAAACCTGGAGGCCGATCCATCCTGTGGTCTTCTTTGATGACACTGTGAAGCTTGTTCCAGCAATAGTCAGGATGAGTCGGGCTGACTCTCCGTCTTGCTCCTAAAGGAAGGGAACAACTGTGGGTTCGCAACAGCTGTCTGTTTGCAAGAAAGAAGCAACTGTCTACGACAGAGGGATCAGCCTTGGCCTGAACAGACCCTCCTAAGGGCTATGTTCTAAAAGACAGGCCTCTCTGAGCCTCTCGGGAAATTCACACTCATCTGCAAGCTCCGCCCACCCCCAGCCAACACCAGGCAGTGGTGAAGCATGTTGGGTTCATAAGCAATGTTTCCAGTCAACAATTGCTAAAACTCATGGGTAAATTAATGATTTTACAGAAAAGTGTTCTTGTTTAATAAAAACTCAGCAAACAATAAAATCAAGTATAAAAAGCTCTCTGTGTGTGTGTGTGTGTGTGTGTAAGTTATATGTGTAATTTAGGGTGATTTCAGTAAGACTATAGCTACAGCTTCCATTTCTTGGCAAAGAGAGATTTTATTTTCAGGTGATGTGTTACGGGGGCCCGTGGTGGGTCTTCCTTAAAAGCTTTAAGCTTTGAAACATGGACTGTTGTCTTGACTCCCCTGTTATCACATGGATATGTCACTGGCAACTTTCAGACGATGTCACCTGAGATATTTATCCCCTATGCAGGGAAGCCGCAGCATCCCGCTGACTCTGCCTTTGCAATATTAATGGCTGATGGTTCTAGAAACGCACGTGGGGACCTGTGTGTGAGTGAGGCCACCTGGAGAC